CAACCTGTTTACAATTGTAACTTGATTTTCCTCAATGTTTTTAAGATTTGTTTTGGCTAATGAAGGGAAATGAAACCAGCCTCTATCTTAATACTGAATGTTCTTAGCTGCTGTAACGTTGCATAAAGCTGTATTTACAAACAGAATTTGTGACAAAATTCCTGATAAGAGTGAGTTCTGATTTTTATCTTTCCTGTTCAAAGAACATTCATAAGTAGAGCTGCAACAGTGCTTCAGATATGAAGGAGAAAAAAGTGTGAATGCTTATGTACCCACATCTGCAACTTCTTAAAGCAGCTATGTCTTTCCCAGGATTGTGTAGTTGCCCTCTATCATTGCAATGCAATTCAAAATTTATTGAAGAAGTAGATTTTGCGGATAAGGGCTACATGCATGCTTTGCAGGCTCTTATGAACCCTTTCCCTTTCAAATTCTAAGTGCTACTATTATTCAGTAGTCTGCTCTGCTCAAATTTTTTTTGGGGGGGGGTGTTAATTATTGTAATAAATAATTCTCAGTCGTACTTTTTTATAAATTGCTTCAACAAAGTTGGGTAATTGAATTCATAATTAAACCAAGAATCATATAATTGGTGCAAGTTTGGCTTTTGTTGAAAATAAACTTATCCTGAGTTTGTGATTAGTGAGTCTGTGAGTATGTTTGGTACTGGGGGAGATTGAACAGGCGCTCAAAATGCAGTGACAGAAACTGTAAATTGTGCATCTATATCTGTATGCACAAATGTTTATTTACATTAGGAAATATATGAACTTACTGAAACCTGGAACAGATTAAGCTTTAAATACTACTGTGTGGCATCACATCTAACACAAAACATTTTTTGACTATTGCAAGAGGAAACAAACCTCCATCTGCATCAAGTAACAAAAAGAAGTGTATCCGAAGTATCTTTGGATAGGACACTTTGGCATCTGAAATTCATTGAACGCTTGCATATTTAAATTCATGCATATAGCTCAGTATATAAACATAAATTGTTTTACTTTGTATAAGGCTCTTAGCATAGCTAAAACACATTTATTGGATTATATCAAATATTTTCTTCCATGGATTCTATGTCAAGAAAGGTAGATAAGGCTAATTACATTTATAATAAAAGACTAATATGATTTTAAAATAAGTGACATTCCTGCAGTTCAGTTTACAAGAAGCAGTTATAAACAAAAGATAAGCCCTTTATTCAGAATAATCTTTGGCAAGAGTATTATGTTTGGACAAAATTTCATTAACACAATACATTTTCACTTACAGAGAACCTTGGATAAATTATATTTAAAAAGAACTGAATTCATTTATAATTTATATTAAAACTAATAAATATTACAAAATTGTGGTTTTACATTAAATAAATTTGCAACAAACTTTTAAAACTGAAATATAACAGTCTTGGGCATTTGCTTTTTGAATAAACCACACAGTAGGCTTACTTGCAATATATTACCAAACTAGATTAGTCATCTATACTACATGACTAATTTGGTATATTTTATGATGTCCTTATATTGAGGCAAACTGTTATGTAAAATCATGCATTCATGAAATCTGCATGGCTAAAGTACTAGACTCTTGCACAGGTTTTATTTTTTGGACAATGTAGGTAAGACTGAACAGATGGATTGTCAAGGAACACACACACTGTGCTGGTACCTATAATTCTGATTTTGATTTCACACCTTCATTGGCTTATCTCTCTTTAAACCATATGTTTTCAGCAGTTAATTACCCTGCTCCTAGGTACCTGGTCAATCAGTTCCTTGATGGGAGAGCGTCCACAAATACTAGGGCTACAACCTAGACTTGAATGTTGAAAAAGCCAAAATTCAAAAATCATCCCAGAAGATGGCAATAGCAATCCACTTCAGTACTGCTGCAACAATGCCACATAGGGTCAAAACCATCACTAGACATTGAGTGTGACTCCAAGAATGCTCTGCTTTTTATCCTAAGTAAAAGGATTGATATACTAGTTGTAACTGAATCTTGGCCAAGGTCTTCCAGGTTTTGAGTTTATAATCCAGATCTGTCTCTTGGATTACTTTGGAAGGAATGTTGTCATGTTCCTTGGCTGCCTAGACCCTGTCAACAGTGCCCTTTGTCTTCAAAAGTTTGGCAGAACCAAAGTATGTGAAGATTGCGTAGAGACAATTAATTTATTTCTCCTATTCCTTCATTTCTCAAATCAGACGCTTGCTGTCAAGAGTCTAATGATACTGCTGGGCCTTCAACATGAATGAAGAAGCAAATACTGCATGCTGATTTTTATCAGGAAGACGATGAAGGTTGAATATCTCTTTATATATTTGTCCATGATACACTTGCATCTCATCAACCTTTTCAACCACATAACAGATCTGAAAAATTCTGAATACAAAGAGCATGTATGTATGTATGTATGTATGTCCAGGCAGAAGAAGAACATCGTTGCTTCAAAATCTAAGGGACTGGTTTGGACAAAACTCAGCAGCACTTTTCCGTGTGGTTGCTGATAAAAACAGGATCGCCAACATGATCGCCAACGTCCGATAACGGATATGGCACAAGAAGATGTATGTATGTGTGTGTGTGTGTGTGTACACACACACACACACACACACACTTTTATACATAATGAAAATCATACAAGTTCCCAGTTGGAACTATTTTAAAGAGACAAGGACAAACTATAAAATGTACAAACATGACCTTCACACCTGATGACAGCCATGTATAGATTTGTTCATACTTGCCATCCATATCAACAGGTAAGGCCCTGTGCATTCCTTCTTCTACCTTGGTTTGCTGATATAAAGGCAACTTTTAAAGTGAAAATTGGCTTTAAGGGCTATCTTTACCAGGATTTATCCCTGTTTTGGCTGGACTTTGATATGCACAGAACTGCATTACAATATGATGTTGTGGCAAGTCTTACGATTCAGTGACACACAGTAATTGGGTTGCTATTCATAGGTTCCATGAATTTCCCGGAAAAACTTTGTTATGTCAAAATCTGTAATGTATTTGTTTTCTCTGTTCACCACTTTGGCTTATTGGTTTTCTATAACATTCATTTCTACCTTCCTTCTCCTTGAATTGTTCTATTGCTTTCTAAGATTGCAAGGATTATAAACTGCTCCTCCACTACCCTTCCAAAGCAGGCTTAGTGCTAATTAAAATATCTAGCTATTTGAAGAGGAAAAATAAAGCTGGGGTCCATTAGAAGTCCATACTATTCAACTTTTCATGGTCATTTTTGGATGCCCAGCGACTAGTGATGGGCATAGGAGAACTTTCATTTGAAGCTTACTGAAATGCTTCTTAATTCTGCTAACCCTTTTCACTTTCTTATTTTTAATCTTATATGATTTTTTAAAAAAAAAATATAACATAAAAAGAAACAAGAATAAAATGCCACTTATCTACTGTTACCATAATTTTTAATGTTATCACTAGTAGATACACCTAGCACCTTCAAGATACTTCCATGCAATTTACTAGCATTGCATAAAAGTAATAACTTTACATGGTTGTATATCTGTTACATTAATTTCCTGTACTGCCTCTGAACAATTGCAGCAACTAATTAATATTCTACTTTTCATTTGTTAATCTATTCTCAGTAGATGATATAATCTCTTTTAAAAGACATAATTTGGTACTTGTGGAGTGTGTGGCACTATATTTACTTTTTTCTGTTCTGAACAATCCTGATCAATTTTCATAAAATGACTCTAGTGTTATGAAAGGACAAAATTGCACATCTCTGTACTGGCTCCATGATACACAAACCTTATAACCTCTATAATATATACCTACTAAGGGAGGAAAAAGGCCCACATTTCACTGGAATGGTGCTCAAATAAATTCTTTGACCATTTCAATGTGAAAGAGAGCAAGACAAATGAATCAGACTTGCCAAAGGCAGAGAAGTTGTAAATATGGAAAGGAATAATATTTAGAAATGAGCTGCTGGGCCAAATTACTTAATATATAAGAGATTAGGAGCTACAATAGCCCTCTCGTCAGTGAAATGACAGGATCACATTAATTGTTTTAGAAAGATGTAATGTCCTTAAATATAGTATTGTGGCATTACTGAGCAGAGGTGACATAGAACCATAATCGGGAGCAAATTTATTTAATATGTTCCTTCAGCAACAAAGATTCTAGGTAAGTTGTGGGCAGTGCAATCTGCTAGTATTTTGTGTGTGTGCGCGTGCGTGCGTGCATGCGTGCTCTTGACTTAGGACACTTTTTCTTCAAAGGTCCCTCAGTGTTTGGGGAAATTGTGCTGATGCTAATATTCTTCTTGTTCTCTGGGGTCCCCTCTGGAATGTGCACTAGACACTTTGAATTACTAAACTAAATGCCCTTCCACAAATAGTTCATCTTTCATAGAAGAAGATATGAAAGACAATAAAGTGATTTGCTTTCATTAGTGTTGAGACTAAGGTTACAGTGATTTGAGTCTGACCATTCTTTTCACTAGAGTAAACGAAATGAAGGTGGAAGTGATGAACTGTGGCAAGAATCTCAAATGGAAAACAAAATACTTTTGCTCCTGCATTCACTTAGGAGAAAATGCAGGGCATTCAGCATATCATCAAGGAAACTCAATAGAATTTCCGCTTGTAGAAAAGTCGGCAGATTCAAGTCAGAACTTTGTTGCCACAGCCTTGCAAAAAGCATTCCCCAGTATATTTATTATTATTATTATTATTGTTGTTATTATTATTATTAGCATTTTGCAAGGCCCCAGATGTAGCTTCTCAGGAATGGGAACTTATTACTATTCCAATACTTGTAGTTTGGTTCATACATTTTATCCTATTTTAATAAATACGCTAATATAAAATTCTCAGAGAAGAGTCTACAGAATCCTATCTCCTTTTAAAAAATAAAACAGTGATAGCTCTAAGCTAACTATGCAAGTTACCTATCTATTTATATATATAAAAAAATCCCTGCATTATTTTTGTGCAAAAAAGGAAAGAAAATAAAAAAAGAAAACTTGTCAGAAATAGAATATGGTCCTCCCTGTTCGTAAGAACATTATTTCTCACATAGATAAAAGCAAAACTGTCGCATATGCTTAAACATGCACCAGGTTGTTAAAGTATGAAGTTCTATCATGTAAATATTGGCTGCTTTATGAATGGAATGCCCCAGCGTAAAACAATGTCTTCTTCTATACCTCAACATGGCATGAGTGACAGGAAGACACACTCCCTCTATGGCTCATTGATGACCTGGGACTGTGACTGTTACAGTTTTCACCTCTCCTTTGATCCTTGTCCCTCCAGTTTTCTAGCAGCTGCAGCTTTCCTTGCTCTTCTTTCATGAAAACTTCCACCATGAGAACTTTCTCCTTGTGAATCTGCTGACTAATGTCCTTGGGAATGTCTGGAATAATCCAGTCAACAAAGTCACTCATAAACATAACCAAATTCTGAAAAGTAAAAACGAAAGAGACAATGTTAACCAAGTCAAAATTATGGCCTGACTAAAAAGGGGTTTGTTTTTTTTACAGAATTTATACCAGTAGCTTATTAAGAATTTACATATATTTGTAATTCCTAAGTATGCATCAGTACAATGCATAGACATAGGCTTAATTCCAGAGATCAGTAGTTCTCAATTTACCGGTATAACCATAATTGTACAGTAGTTCTCTGTTTATAACCATAATTGAGCCAGAAATTTTGGTCATAAGTTGTGACAGTCATAAACTCGGTGATCACACAACCACGCCAATTTTACAAACTTTTTTGCAGCAGTTATTAAGCAAACGTGGTTGTAAAGTGAATGCAGTGATCATAAAGTGAATTCCATGGTTGTTAAACAAACCATTGTTTATTATGAGGTGTTTTTATTGCTGGAAATTGGAAGTAAACATCCATTCCTGGAAAAAATGTAAATCATAGCCACGTGAGCTTGGGATGCTACAAATGGCCATAAATCTGGGCTGGTTGCTGAGCACCCAAAATATGATCACGTAACCATGGGGAGGGCACAAATGTCAGAATACTGAATCCAGGTTGTAAGTTGCTTGTGAATGAAGGCGAATATATGTGTCCCAGGATAATGCTGCAGGATATAATCGGGCTCAGTCACCAGGACGAAAGGTTTTGTCTTTTGAGCTTTTGGACAAGTTCCTTGAGGATGGGCTTCAGCACAAGTCCAAAAGCTCGGAAGACTAAACCTCTGGTCCCGGTGGCCGACCCAGATTGGATCCTGTAAGTTGCTTTTTCAGTATCTATCATAACTATTACCAAGTGAACGGTCATTAAGTCGAGCATTGTAAACAATATGTTGGCTTGCAAGACAGCCTCTAGCTACAATCTCTAGTTTGCACAGAAAAGTTTCTATCTGAGGGAAAATGGCTTTGACTGCACTCTAGTATGCTGAATAAATGTGCCAATGGAGACCCGTGTGTTCTTAGTGTTAGTAGGAAATACTAACCTTAGTGAGCCTTAGTGAAAGACACAATGACAAATTATATGAATGTGGGATGAATCCTTTTTTGTTTCTATATTTAAGAATTTTCTGTAGTAACATATGAATCCTACTCCAATATTTTCTTGCTTTATCACACGCCCACCATAAATGGTAAAACGTCCCCTCTTGCCTTTACATTTCCAACATTCATTTGAAATACCTTTATACATTTTTGATAACCTGTCTGGTGTTAAGTCCCAACAGTACACATCATCTTGTAAAAGTTTTCTTTTAGATTATAATTTAATCTAAAGCTAATAAAAAGAAAGTGAACACCAGGAAGAATTAAAAACTACAAAAGTTTTAATAAATTAAGAGTCCAAGCTTTCACCGGCAACTGCCGGCATCATCAGGGATCTATGTAGGCTAGTGGGAGCGCTTATTTATGGCCAAGCTATTTTTGCGCCCGACCCACGGATGTTGTCATGGGGTTCTATCGGCCAATCGATGTTCTAACAACTGTCTCCGTATTATTATCAAACCTGCCTCCACTACTCTTCTCCTCATGTGCCTTGTCACTCACTTTTCCCTCCCCCTCTTTCCTCCTTTCCTGTATTCCTGCCTCAACCCCGTCTCCGTATTACTACCAAACCTGCCTCCGCTACTCTTCTCCTCATGTGCCTTGTCACTCACTTTTCCCTCCCCCTCTCCCCTCCTTCCTTCCTGTATTCCTGCCTCAGCCCCTCGTCCTGCCCTGTTGGGAATGGATCCGCATTCTCGGACCTTGCTGTCCGGTACTCTCCCTTTCTTCTCTCTCTTCCCATATCCGGCAAGCGTGTGGCCCCGATCCTTGATCGTCTGTGTCACTACCTCCTCTCCGTTACCACCATTGATTACCCGGGTGCCTATGCTTGCCCCCGCATCGCCCCCCACCTTACTCTGCAGTCTCAACCCTCTATCCAATCGATCTTCCCCCCCCTCTCCAAACAGCCTCTCCCGTACCTCCCGTCTCCCCCTTCTTTCTTTCTGCCAAAAACACTACGCTCGTCTGTGAGGCGGCTGCCCGGGAACGTGTGACTGCCCCCAGGGCGGGGTGGAGTTGCTCTCCCTCTCCTCCTTCTCCCACGGGAGACATCACGTTCGTTTGCACGAATCGACCCTTCCCCCTCCCCTCTCTCCGAACAGCTTCTCCCGTATCTCCCGTCTCCCCCCTCCTTCTTTCTGCCGGAAACACTGCGCTCGTCCGTAAAACGGCTGCACGAGAGCGTGTGACTGTTCCTGGGGCAACTCCACCCCGCCCCTAACGCAATTTGTTTCTGCTAATCTCATTTATGGGCAATGAAATATACTAACCATTGTATTCTATGGTTTTAATCGTCTCTCAACAGCTATACTGTAATTTTGTTTTATTTATCAATAACATCACTTAGTAGGAAAAGGCTAAGAGGGCTGAACTTATAGGAAAGGTATATAAAATTAGTGATGAGTGGCAACATTTCATAATATGATTCCTTTTGTAAAAAAAATAAAAAGTACTGAAGGAGCTGAAACATAAATAAGCCTAAGCTGTACAAGGACACATGCCATTTGGAAAGCAGTAAATCCCGGGGATAATGGTGACATTGCAGAGAAGAACACCCTGTTGTAAGCAGGAGGTGAGAAGTCCTGATTGTGGTAGCCATCCAACAGATACTATATTGATGACAGAAAAATGGCCTGTGTTGCACACCAAGTGATGCCATAGTGAGCATCCCCAGATAGCCTTTCTTATTACCCATGGGGCTCTCAGTTGTGGTAGTGCTGGCTTCACCTTGCTGCCCAGCCACACAACCAATGATACTGAGGACAAATGTTAACCTTCTGCTCAGCCAGACAAGAGAAAGAGCTACTTAACTTAGATGACCTTTGTGACAACAACAAAAACAGAGGTTGAACACCAATGGCACGTTTGGTTTTTTTTCCAGAGCTGTCAGCCTCCCAAATAGACTAGAGAGGAAACATGGCAATTCTACTTTATTGTAAAGCTACATTCACAGAATCTTGCAGCTCTGCAAGTATAAATTTCCCGCCATCTCTTTTTACCACCTGATAAGTCAGGGTGGATCCCGTCCATGTTTTTTTTCTCTGTCCATTATTCAGGGGCAGGTTCTCCCCCTTTTTTATTTGATCATTCCCTAGGTAGTTTCTCTTCTCAACATTCAAGATCAGGGGTCTTCAAACTCGGCCCTTTTATGACTCATGGACTTCAACTCCCAGAATTCCTCAGCCAGGCACGCTGGCTGAGGAATTCTGGGAGTTGAAGTCCATGAGTCAAAAGAGAGCAGAGTTTGAAGACCCCTGTTCAAGATCATTCCCACATACTGTTACAAGAGAAAACAAAAGGAAACAGCTGATTCTTCATTGAGTTGCTGGTATTCTGTGATACTCATTTGAGAGTCTCTCTGTGCGATGCAACGATTTCTGCCACAGTACAAATCTTGAAGTGCGGTATTTTCATAAAAATTACAATATAATTTTTACTTACTGTAAATGCTTTTTGTGTAAGGGTATCTGGAATTTGAAAAAGTTGTTGACACCTACTAGACAAATGTGATATGGACATGACATTTTTCAAATACTGTTAGATATCATAGTCTCCTAAAAACACTTTTTCATGCTTTCATTTTTATTGTGGATAAATTATTTATTTCTAGGAAAAAGACAAATTTTGATTGTACTTTACCTGAAACACTATTACGAATGCTAATCTTGCTGCAAGCACAGCCCAAAAATCTTTTGCAATGTCATATTTATTTTCAGACCATGGAGGCTCTCTATAATCTTTGTATCTAAAAAAACAGATTAGAATTGAGAATCAGAAGGTTCTGAGAATAATTTATGAGTTCATATCAAACACTAGCATCCATCCATCCATCCATCCATCCATCCATCCATCCATCCATCCATCTATCTATATCAGGGGTAGTCAACCTTGGCTCTTTTATGACTCGTGGACTTCAATTCCCAGAATTCCTGAGCCAGCTTAGCTGGCTCAGGAATTCTGGGAGTTGAAGTCGACGAGTCATAAAAGAGCCAAGGTTGACTACCCCTGATCTATATCATCATCTCTAACTGAAGTCAGTGTGTCAGTTGCTACATTGAGTTATTGCTGATATGTTGAAAATATTGATATCCTCATTTCTTTTGCTTTATCATAATAACATGCTAGTGAATTGTTGTATTTCCATGCATTTTGTCGAAGAGATATGTTGCATAACATATTTGAGAACAATGTGAAATTATATTAAACAAGCAAGCTATCTCAGAGTTTAGAAAGGGAAATACTGACTGAAAATCTTCTTCAGACAAAGGATTGGCTTGCTATGTAGCAGCCAAGTATGCAACCATTTATTAATACTGGAGTGGAAGGACAAAGAAGTATAGGAAGAAGAGTGCCATGAATATTATATGTAAGGAATTTATAATGAGTGAAACAAGCCTAGGGCAGCCTGCTTAGGGCATGGACAGCAAACTTATGGTCTTCCACCTCCCAGCAGTCCTTGTAGAATGGCCAATAACACAGATACTGGGGGTTGTAGTTCAGAGGCATCCTAAAAGGCTATCAATTCCCCTCCCAAGTCCAATTTGATAAGTATAAGCAGGAAGGAGAATGAAGCAGAAAAAGTGTCTTAATACAAACTCTAAGTAATATGATTTAATTTAAAATAATAGGGAAGGTATATGAAAACAGGTTGCATTGGAATTTGGGATGCAAAGTGCATAACTTCTGAATATCAACAAAGCAATTCAAAATTAGATTCATACAAGATATGGAGGAAATATATTAGAGCAATTCAGGAATTTATTCTAACATATCTGAAACTGAGCAAGCTTATGTGGTAGTAATTAATGAATTAGTGAGATCTTATCTCTGGTTTAGAGGTCCAGCCACATTTTAATTTTGGGCTGAAGACGAATTATGGTTTACAAAGTTTTGGGATAAAAAGGACTGCATTTAGGCACTTTTTCAATAGTGAGGTGTGAGATTTATAATATTTGAAAGATTCAGATGATCTAACAGGGCTGGATATGTTCTTTGAATAGGGTTGTTCTCAATATGCATATGAATCATTACAGCAGCTATGTCTTAGCTATTGAAAGTTGTCTCTGGTACTATTTTTATATGTATGAAACACTTGTTTGAGGAATTAGTATAGCCATAATGGAAATTAGAAGCAGAGGGAAGAGCAGCAACAGCTTTCTATTAAAAAAAAAAAGATTCTATTGTAGATTTCTGTGTCAAAAGAATATTAGACTAAGGAGCATATGGCTACTGGATTTTTAAATATTCATGTCTGCTAATATGCTTGATTCATTGATGAGGTGATTTAGGATGGCTTTATTTTATTTTGTGTATGTATGTGTGTGTTTGTGAGAGAAAGAGATATATGTTGGCAGAGAATAGATCCAAACTAATTATAATGGAGCCTTACAGAGAGGTACTTTTGTGGTTCTAGACCAGGGGTCTCCAAACCTGGCAACTTTTAAGACTTGTGGATTTTACCTTCCAGAATTCCTCAGCCAATCATGCTAGCTGAGGAATTCTGGGAGTTGAAGTCCTCAAGTCTTAAAGTTGCCAAGTTTGGAGACTCCTGGTCTAGACAATTACAGTAGCTCATAAAACTATCAAGGAAAAGAATTTCTCTTTTCAAAAGCGGGGTTCTACTGGCTGAGGTTTTGTGCCTTTGACATGGTTGGGGGAATGGTGTTGGCATAGAAGCAAAGGGGGGAAGGCAGCCTTATCTACAGAAAGATGGCTCTTTTCAGTATATGCTGTCTAGAATAAACACACTGAAAATTAAAAGAGACTTGATGAGATGCATGACAAATAAATATCCTAGGCGAGGTCTAGGGAAAGCTGTTTCAAAGAAATGACATTATATACCTGCATATTTGCACTGGATAGCCAAGCTCCATATCATCTTTTGGAGCAGTTTCTTCTTGAAAATCGCTGACATTAAAATAGGATAGTGTATGGTTCACGAAGCCATGCATGGTGCCACTCTCACTGTACATATACAGGTACACGAGGCGTGGAATGAAGTCAGATGTGAATGAGATCACAAATGCCTAAGCCATAAAAGTAAAGAATGAGCGCAGATATTCAGGCCACACTTGCTTAATTACATAAGCAGACTCAATTGTTTCCTCCCCCCATTAAGGACTACCATGAATCAGGCTGGTTCAAACCATATCATCAGATCTGCAGGCTAATGGCTTTCTTTGCACCTTGGTGGTTTGATATTCAAGCTCTAAAAGTGCAGCAAATTGAGAATGAGTAGCTGAAATTGACTGGGAAGCTAACATCAGGTGGAAAAATAGTTATAGGCATTTCAACACTGACATCTTTTGAACTGCAAAATTCTTTCAGATAACAGCACAAAATTTGCCATGTTGCCATTCACAATATTTTTGCTACACACGTGCCTTTTCTTGTCTACTATCAATAAACAAATACTGTCAGGGGGACTGATGTTGCTTTGTTATCCTGCATGCTGGGAGCAATTTTGAATCACTTTGCATGCATTGTTTTGACATTTTTGTGCAAATGCTCCATTTAGATGTTTTATCAAATGCACAAAAAACTTGATGCAGTGGAATTGATTTGGATCCAGCAATTTAATATTTTTATCTTTCACAATTAAAATAAATCTTACATGAAATGTTTAGCTGTTCGCAGGGCAGATGCGAAGACAGTAGAAAGCTTAATATTTAGAATTACGGTGGATCTTTCCCCATACGGATCCATAGAATTGCACTATTTTCTTTGGCTTTAGAGTACACAACTTTTTCTTAACCTGTGGGCCAGCCTGCTGGGCTGCAGGTTTTCCAGTGATGCTTAAGGTAATTTGGGAGTCTTTATTGGGACCAGACATAGTTTCATTTTCTCCTCTTTTTTTTTTAGCTGAAAATTGTGCGGCCAGCATTTGGCCATTTTGCTTCTCTGTCATTTTCTCTGGGGTGATCTCAGAGCTACAGATTAGGCTCCTGCTAGTTGCTCACTTTTTAGGGAATGTCTTTATGACATCAACACCTAAAAACCAATTCCAACTTTCCCTTTTGACCTAATAGAAAAAGGACAAAGAATGCCATGCTTAACAAGCCTGGGAGCAAAAGAAGAGAAGAATTAATGTTGGCATTCAGAAGTGAGAAAGTTACAGTCTGGAAACACAACGGACAGACGGTGAAGGATCGGCAGATCTTGGGGACATACTGCCACAGAGCTGCTCTAGACCATACAGGAAATAAGAAATGAAGTCAACAGATAAAGAAAAAGGAGGTAATGGATAGAAAAGATGGGCCTCTTAATAAAAGAGAGGAAGCTGGAGCCATCTGGGAGGAAAAAATAAAAGATGGAGGTAGAGCCATCTGGGAAATGGAGCTGAAGTTAGCCCAAGTGTCAGCCCATCTTTATGGCTGCTTTTCCAGGCATATTCACACTTTCCTACTTTAGCCATTGCAGCATACTCATATCAGAGCAAACCTTTAAAATAGTTGAACAGAAATGAGAATTTTGTCTTCAAATACTATTTACAGAAAAAAAATACTTACATTTATAATCACAGCCAATTTTCCTACCCCTCTGAGGATATTATACCATATTCCTGGGGGGAAAAAACAAGCAAGCTATTCAAGAGTATTTATCACAAACACTGATAATAGAATCACAGATTTGGAAGGAATTCTCAAGGTCATTTAGGCCAGAGGTTTTCAAAGCTTGTTTCACAGAACCCCTAAAATTGCATGAGAATTCAGGGTTCTGTGAGAGAGTAGAGGCAAACATAAAATTATACTTGAATACAGCCAGTTTTCTATCCTGATAACTTTTTCCTTTGATCAGAGGTTCCAGTATTTTTTTCCCACAGCCTGAAAAAGTTTGAAAACTCCTGATTTAGTTCAATCCTCTGTTAAGTGCAGGTTCTACCAAAGCATCTCTGACAGATGAATGTCCAGCTTCTGTTTCAAAACCATTTAAACAGGACAACTCACCATGTCATATTGGAGTCTTTTTAACTGCCTGGTAACTTGTATAGTCAAGAGTTTTCTCCTCATATCTAACCTGAATCTCCTTTCTTGTAGCCTTAGCTCATTGGTTCTATTTCCGTTTTTTGGACAGTAGATAATATGCCCACTCCGTCTCCAATGTAACAATCCAGATATTTGAAAAGTGTTATCATATCACTCTTCAGCTGTCTCTTTAATAGGATACACATATTTATATCTTTTAAATTGGAGTAATAATTTAATCCTAATTGGGCTTGGTTTCTAAATCACTCGTTATCTTGTAGCCTCCTTTGAACTTTCTCCAATTTGTCATTGCCTTTTTTGAACAATGGTACCTACAAGTATATAATACTCTAAAAGTGGGTCTGACCAGGGCAAAGTAGAATGGAATAATTACTTCTTAGGATCTGGGCTATTAATGCATACACCACCAATGCATCATATATAATAAATAATTATGTTATAAATAAATAATGATATCTTTTTTTTCATTTTTCTTTAGACAAAGTTTGAAGTGGAAGATATTTCCTTTAATATCTATTTAGTTTGTGAGTTCGCTTACTTCTAGATTATATCCTCCCATTTCTACATTCTATTCTATGGGGTAACATGGAACTTCTTGTCATTTTTCCCCATCTCATTTCTGAGTTCCAGTTCTGCTTTTTTGGTTAGTGGATACATAGAAAGATGATTCAGTTCTGCTGGTAAATGATGCATTTGATACAACCCTATATTTGTCCTTTTCATTTAAGTCCCTAGCCTATTGAGGTAGAACCAAGGAACACAGATTCTTTGGTAGTTACAGTGAAGTTTAGAATGCTTTTTCTAAGGAGGTCCAGATGGCCCCTTCTCTCTATGCCTCCTGGCATGAAGTATAACCCTTAAGAAGAAACAAAGTTTTGCTTAATTTTTCATGCTGTTTACATTGATTATTCAAATATCTGTAATTACTTGCATTCCTTTAGTAAAAAATAAAAGCAGGATAGGAATCAAGAGAAGAATAACATAGCTTTCCTAGCTACTGAGGTCAGACTGCCAATAATAATAATAATAATAATAATAATAATAATAATAATAATAATAATAATAATAATAATAATAGTAATAAAGTTGGAAGGGACCTTGGAGGTCATCTAGTCCAACCCCCTGCTCAGGCAGGAAATCCTATACCATTTTGGACAAATGGCTGTCCAGTTTCTTCTTAAAAACTTCCAGTGTTAGAGCATTCACCGCTTCTGGAGGCAGGTTGTTCCACTGGTTAATTGTTCTAACTGTCAGGAAGTTTCTCCTTAGTTCTAGGTTGCTTCTCTCCTTGATTAGTTTCCATCCGTTGCTTCTTGTCCTGCCTTCAGGCGATTTGGAAAATAGCTTGACTCCCTCTTCTTTGTGGCAGCCCCTGAGATATTGGAACATTGCTATCTTCTCCCCCCTCGTCCTTCTCTTCATTAAACTAGACACACCCAATTCCATCAACCTTTCCTTATATGTTTTAACCTCCAGTCCCCTAATCATCTTTGTTGCTCTTCTCTGTACTCTTTCTAGAGTCTCAACGTCTTTTTTACATCGTGGTGACCAAAACTGGATGCAGTATTCCAAGTGTGGCCTTACCAAGGCATTGTAGAGTGGTATTAATACTTCGTGTGATCTTGATTCTATTCCTCTGTTAATGCAGCCTAGCATTGTGTTGGCTTTTTTGGCAGCTGCAGCACACTGCTGGCTCATGTTTAAATGATTGTCCACTAGGACTCCGAGATCCCTTTCACAGTTACTACTATTGAGCAAGGTACCCCCTATACTATACCTGTACATTTGGTTTTTCCTGCCTAAATGTAGAACCTTACTTTTTTCACCATTGAATTTCATTTTGTTAGATAGCGCGAAGTGTTCAAGTCTGTCCAGGTCCTCCTGTATCTTAAGCCTGTCTTCTGGAGTGTTGGCTATTCCTGCCAGCTTGGTGTCATCCACAAATTTGATGAGTTCCCCATCTATCCCCTCGTCCAAATCATTGATGAAGATGTTGAAGAGCACTGGGCCTAGAACAGAGCCCTGGGGCACCCCACTACACACTTCCCTCCATGTAGATGCGGTACCATTGAGGACCACACACTGAGTACAGCCGGTCAGCCAGCTACGAATCCATCTGGTGGTGATGCTGTCTAACCCACATTTTTCTATCTTATCGAGTAGTAGGTTGTGATCTACTTTGTCAAATGCCTTACTGACGTCCAAGTAAATTATATCCACAGCATTCCTCTGGTCCACTAATTTTGTCACTTGGTCAAAGAATGCAATAAGATTTGTCTGGCATGATCTGTTTTTGACAAACCCGTGTTGGCTTTTAGTAATGACTTGGTTTGCCTGTAGGTGTTCACTGATTCGTTCTTTGATTATCTTTTCCAGAATCTTCCCAGGTACTGAGGTCAGGCTGATAGGTCTGTAATTTCCTGGATCCATTTTTTTTCCTTTTTTGAAGATGGGAACTACATCAGCTCTTTTCCAGTCCTCTGGTAGTTCCCCAGTGCTCCAGGATCTTTGAAAAATATAGTTCAGTGGTTCTGAGATCACATCTGCCAGTTCCTTGAGAACCCTGGGGTGTAATCCATCTGGTCCTGGTGATTTGAACTTATCTAGGCTGGACAGGTGCTCACTTGCCATTTTCTTGCCTATCTTAACTTGTGTTTCTATTCTGTTTTTTATGGCACTATTTTTGATAGGTTGGTCTGCTTTTTCCCTTTGTGTAAAGACAGATGCGAAAAACGAGTTAAATAGTTCTGCTTTCTCCCTGTTGCTTGTCACCTTCTTGCCACTTTCACCCACTAATGGACCAATTGTTTCCTTCACTTTTTTCTTGTTTTTTACATGTTGAAAGAAGCTTTTTTTGTTATTGTTGACTTTGGTCGCAAGCCTTAGTTCATTTTGAGCCTTAGCTTTCCTCACTTCATCTTTGCAGGCTTGGGCTATTTGCTGATATTCTGACTTAGTTATGTGTCCCTCTTTCCACTTTCTATACTTGTCCTTTTTATCTTTCAATTTACCAGAGAGTTCTTTGTGCAGCCACGCTGGTTTCTTTTGAGAGCTGTTATTTTTCCTCTTTGTTGGTATTGTGCTAGACTGGGCTTTTATTATCTCACTTTTTAAAATTTCCCAAGCATCTTGAGTTGTTTTCCCCTAGAGGATTCTCATCCATGGAATCCTTCCCAAACCCTCTCTAAGTTTATTGAAATTAGCTCTCTTGAAGTCCAAGACTCTAGTTTGACTGTGTTCTATTTGCTTGTGCTTCATAATGTTGAATTCCAATATTGCATGATCACTTCCTCCCAAGGTTCCTCTGGCTTCAACACCTTCTATCATTTCATCTCTGTTAGTGAGAATTAGATCCAAAATGGCTGATCCCCTAGTTCTCTTCTCTACTTTTAAAGAACACTAGCCGGTATTCAGTAGAGGTTCTGCTTTAGCAGAAAGTGGTTATCTTGCACAAATCAGGGCATTCAATTTTCTGTTTTCTAACCAATATTTATACATTATAGATATTGTATAAATAATTAAATAACTTACCTATATCTTTAGCTCTCACTGCAACTGGCCTCCTAAGCTCAGTAACAAATTTCTTTGCATCCAGACGTATCTCGATGATATTATTTAGCAATGCAAACAAGGGAGCCAATGGGAAGGATGCAACAAACAGGGTTACAAAACCAAACTGGATTACTGAAAATTTAAAAAGAATCTACTGTCAATTACAAATCTTACTCTGTTGAATTTGCTTTCCAAAACACAACCTGCCCAAAAAACAGTGAATGCATACTATGCACAAATTATATGTATTTCTTATATATATTCATCTGTTACACTATTTGCTACTGGCTGTTTTATATAAATGTACATATTATGTGTGAGCATTTCTGGACAACAATTTTTTATTTAACTGCATGCTGCTCTCATTTTTTACAATTCTCCCACCCAAACTTCCACTTAACTATGAATCTACATATATTCCTAACACAAGATAAAAGAATGTATTTCATGTAGTGGATGTAAGTCCATGAAAGGGTGAAACCTAGTACATTTTTTTACTTTTAATCATCTACAAGATTCTTTGTTGTCTTTGCTTTAATAAATAAACTCAATTTATTTATTTATTTTGTTTAATTCATATAGTTGCCCATCTCGCATACATGACTCTGGGCAGCCTATACAATTAAAATAGCAAAAATAAAAATTATCAAAACAACAAAACCATTAAAAACAATTAGAGTAATTAAAAGCCATAAGCAGAAAACATGGGAGATTCAATCAAAATCGTACACACGATGCAGCTGTTTTGTGGCATCCATATTCCCACGGAATTCCCCCAGGCCCCATGACAAAACCCAATTTTCAGAAGGCCAATAGGATTGGAGAGATGATGTTCCAAAGAGTGGGTGCCATGGTTCTCTTCCTAGTTCTGCTCAGGTGAAGCCCCTTAGCAAGTGGGACCCATAATATGTTCCTTATACCAGGCCTGAGGAGATGGGTAGATGTAACTGGGAAGAGACAGTCCCTCAAATAACCCATCCCCATGCCATGTAGGGCTTTAAAGGTCATAACCAGTACTTTGAATTGAACTCAAAAGCAAACTGGCAGCCAATGCAGCTCTCAAGAGCACAGATGTAACATGCACTAATTTAGTGGCACAAATAAATGCCCAGGCTGCTGCATTTTACAGTACTTGAAACTTCTGGATGCTCTTCAAGGGCTGCTTGTAGAGCATTACTAGAATCCACTCAGGATTGGATTGAGTATGTGAGAGTTGAATTTTCTGATCAAAGTTACTCCTATGGAAATTGTATGTATTAAACGTCAAATAATAGAAACTTCTTAAAGGGATAACATGTATTTTGCTATTGAATCATATATTGTATTAAAGAAGAACTCAAAAAAAGAAAGAAGTAGAAAACTGGAAAACATAATAACAGTCAGAATGGATAAATAAACCCATTTTGAATGGATAATAAAATACTGAAATGGATAAAACAGGTAATCAGCTAGTAAACCCCACTTTAAATAGTTTAAGTCTTACTCATTTCCATGTATTCTGGAGTAAGTCCAGCAAAAGGTTCCAGATTATAATCTACTTCATAACGCTGGTTTTTCTTCATATACTCTTCATGATCTACAGGACTTTGTCTTTTCAGCTTCAAGTACCTTATAAATTTTTTCATTTTCCTAACAAGAATGAGGAAAAGTAATTGCTTTAGATGTCTTATATATTTTGTAAAAACATTTAGAGGTCTGGTTTTCCATTTTAAATATTTTATCAAGTTCTTTGAGAGGGTAAAGCAAATCCCCAAATTATTTGTAGCTGAATGACAGTCTTCTATTTTGAGTTCTCTAGGATCTGAAATGGCATCCGAAGAAAATGCCCAAAACTTTTCATATGCACCCCATCAATGTTTTTATGTCATCTTCACTATAAGAAAAGGTTTTTCCTGAAGTTCCTTTCTGTTTAAAGAAAATTATGTTAGTTCACAGGACCAGTAGGCTTTCTAGTTTTATTGGGAAAATAAGAGCTCCAAATGTCTGAAAGATTCTGGCAAAATAAATGAAAAAGACTAAACAAATTTCTTTACTGTCTCCTAAAGAGACAAGAAGTCTTAATTACTGGTCTATTATAATCTCTATCAGCCTCTACAATCCTGATCAGAACTGTTCAAAAATGTGGCCACTGAATAATCATGAAGACTTTTATTCTATATACTTGATACTAGTTTGAGTATTTTGTCCTATTCTATTTATCTACCAAGTTGGTTGAATTTGGCCTCACTGTAGGCTCATAATTCTTATTTATTAAATGATATAATACTTTGGGAAACCACTGTTGACATGCAGACTGCAAGATTTACTGATAAGGAAAAGAATCTTGAATTTAAGGCAATTCACCTTTCTCCCCAAGGAAAATCAAATAAAACAAACAAAGCAAAACAAAATCCCTTACCTGCCTCTTTATAATATTCTCAATCAATCTAATATGGCTTAATTGTTTTAGAAATAAATTGTTTGCAGGGAAAAATAGTCCTTCAGATAAGAACAAAATGTATTGAACTAACAAAACAAATAATAAAGTAACAAAACAAATGCACACTATTTTAAACTTTGGTATATACTCAGTCTAACATTTTCTTGCACTGCATTGATGTCAAACAAGAAAAAATATATTTAATTTATCAAGGGATGATATGCAAGCATTTTGAGAAGACACTTAATATTTTTTTATTTCTAACTACTTACGGGATGCCAATTTCAAAAAGATTATTCTGAATCAGCTGTTTGCCCAACATTATAATGCTAAGTTGTATACACAATTCCATCAGGCAACCACCAGGAGCACACTAAAAAAGGAAAAACAAAATAAAAAAACTGGGGACATCAGTATACCCCAACAGAGTGTTCATAGCTGTTTTTTAGACCCATGAGCAAAATAAGGTACAGTTACCTCTTCCATTCGAAAAGAATGAAAAATGTAGACATAATCTCCTGGGCGTCCAACAAATCTAGACAATTTGGAAATAATGGTTAGACTTTGTGTTACAGACACAAACTTTCAGACACTTCCTGCAATATTTTATGTGCCTCTAAAAACATTCTATGCAGATACCCATTATACAATGAATGATTAATTTAGTTTCAGACAAAAGAAATACAGAAAAGCAAATCTAGCTACTAGGGCACGGGTAGGCAACCTTGGCTTTTATGACTCGTGGACTTCAACTCCCAGAATTCCTGAGCCAACATGGCTTAGCTTGGAAACCTCTCCCTGTTCCCTCAGCATGGCTGGCTCAGGAATTCTGGGAGTTGAAGTCCACGAGTCATAAAAGAGCCAAGGTTACCTACCCCTGTACTAGGGATATATTCACTTCCATCAACACAAAAGTTATCAGTGATATTTTTCAAATAAGTAATTTGCCTTTCAGCAGGGTTTATCAATGATAAACATGATTAAAGGAAAGAATATTAAATATTTTGTGGATAAGAAAGGAAAATCCAATTAATTAATTTATTGGATGAAATCCTTTCTATCAATGAATGGAGTTCAAAAAAGGCTGAATTTGCTATTCCCAGTATCTGATTGAAGTTCTGGACATTGCTTTAATAGCTAACCTAAAAGTCCTTGGAATTTCAAGAGAAGCAATGCAAAGGGCTGTATCAGTAAGACTGCTTTCCCCAACCTTTTCTTTGCTTGTGGAAACTTTCCATACTCCTCAACTTGATGATTTTAAACAGTAAAGTTTCTGACTGCCATTTATTTCTGTAAATGCTTCTATCTATAACAACTTACAACAGCATGAATATCAGCTGAGTAAACACTCAAATTTTAACTGATGAAAGTGTATTTTGCCTCAATATTTAGCAATACCCCTTCTTAATGTACACCCATAAGCCAACTATGCTTCTGTTGTGCAGAAAAATGCTCTTAGCAGAAACATAACCAATGCTATACATTGGGAAATTACCATTCTAGTGTAATTAATTCAATTAATCTTTATGATCTTAATACTTGGAGGCAGGTATAGCCTGGGAAACCCAAGTGACAATCCCTCTAAAAGTCCTTGTTTGAAGAAGGGCTCTGGAACAGCATAAAATACTAGTGAAGCAATAATTTAATCTATGCAACTTACCGGCCCTTGAAGAAAGCAACGTAGAAAATGGGAGTGTAAGCATTAACAAATTTCAGAAGGAAGGCCTTGAAGATAAGTCGTTCTTCAAAACTTTTGTCTGTTTTTGGTACCTCTGAGGTAAATAAAATTAATGCAAAAGTGACTGAAAGATTAATCTAAGGTACTAAATATTATACAGATAGTCCTTCCTAAGCAAGATCGTTGTTAAGTGAATTTTGCCCCATTTTATGCAAACACATAAAATGCCAGAATTGTTAAGTAAATCATTGCAGTTGTTAAGTTAGTAACACAATTGTTAAGTGAATCTGGCCTCCCCATTGATTTTGCTTGTCAGAATGTCGCAATAGGTGAACACATGACCCTGGGACATTGCAACTGTCATAAATACATGCTAATTGCCAAGTGTCTAAATTCTGATCAAGTGATCACGGGGATGCTGCAACAATCATAATATAAAAAATGGTCATAAGCCACTTTTTCAGTGCCATTGTAACTTCAAAGAGTTGCTAAACAAATAGTTGCAAGTCGATGATTACTGTACAGGCTTATACACTACAGTTGTCCTTACAATATGGTATGTATAATGTCAATCTGGTTTGATTACAAGATTACTAGAAAAGTATTTCAGATTTTTTTTCCTGCTTTCAATAAATTGAGAAGTGTCTGGACCCCTCTATTTTTTACTTCTTGATTTATATTCCTCTTGAAGTAAGTGATGACTGGAAATGAAGATAAATCGTTTTATTTGGTTGTTTTTTTTTAAAAAGAAATAGGTTCACCAAGGTGACAAGACTATAAATGAATTTAAATAATTTCCACACTTAAAAGTTAAACCCAATATTAGTTACTGAAAGATGTGAATGCCTTAATGCCAAGACTCTTTTTAAGTTATTATCTCAAGATTTGTTCCTATGTAATTTGGCTTGCAAAGTCAAAGCTGAATCATTAGACAGATCATTTAATGAAATCAGATTTCTAAGTCAAATAATGGGAAGATATGTACCTACCAATTTGAGTCAGCCATCTAGCTATGCAGCCATATACTTCATCCAAGATTATTATCACCACCAAATTAATAATTACTGCAGTCGCTGTGACAGTCACTCTAACATTCGACCTGCCTCCTGGAGAGGAGTTGATGGCTAAAGCTGCTGCAGTGGAGATTCGGTATATAATAACCCCAAAAACAATAGCAAATGTCAGCCCAATCTGAAAAGGACATAAGATTAGGTTCACAATATTACTATGCCTGACATAGTTCGTATGGAAATGTTTCAATTACTTGT